AGAATAGAGGGAGAGATAGATCTTCATCCGCTGGTTTACTCCCCAAATGGCCTCAATGGCTGGGACTGTGCCAGGCCACAGCTTCATCCAGGTCTCCAACGTGAGTGCAGGGGCCCAAGCACTTGGACCATCCTCTGCTGCTTTCCCAGGCACATTAACAGGGAGCTGGATTGGAAGTGGAGCAGCCAGGACTTGAACAGATGCCCATATGGGATGCCTGGATTGCAGGCAGTGGCTTAACCCTTTACACCACAATGCTGGCTCCTAAATAATCTTTTTTTTTTTTTTTTTCTTTTTTTAAGGAGCAGCATGAGAAATGACATGCTGTGTTTTGGCATGGGAAAACTCCTGCCAGGCCAGAACAAGGCATTAGTGGTCACTTGAAGTGATCAGAAGTCCCCAGCCTGACCCATCTCTGCAGGTCCGTGTTCCCTCGGTTGTAGTGAAAGCTCCTTGCTCCTGTGTTCTGCCGCTGATTGCGTGCTGCTTCCCTGCCGCTTGCCGCTTTGCACACTGTGCTGTTATCTGATGTTCACTCGTGGAGCGTCTGCCTCGCCCACACAGTGGGTTAGTTTCTCTGCGTGCTGCAGCAGAGACAAGTTCCCTGAGGAGAGGAGCTACCTGCTTGCTTTCTGTTCAGAATGGGTAGGGTGGGGTGAGGGGGGAAGGGTCACAGGTTAGGCAGACATGAGGTGTGGATGCTCTTGGCAGTGTTCAGTGCCTGGCCCACCTCACCACCCTCCGTGGTCTTCCTCAGCTGCTCAGGGCCCATCACAGTCGCTTAGTAGACTCCCTGTCTTCACTGGCATGGACAGGTCCCTCATTACTGACAGAGTGGAAACCCAGTGGCTAATGCAGCAGAGTTCTCCTTGCTGAGTCCAGCTCTTCCCCCTGCTTCCAGAGGGTACATGGCCATTAGAAGCCTGCCAGGGCATGGGGCTGCTGGCTGTGTTTCTGCTCAGGAGTCTCCCACTCCCATCACAGCTACCATTTACTTAAAGGCTGGGTTCTAGATAACAGTTTCTGTGGAGGACTTTATTTAAGTATTGCAAGAACCTTCCTGAGTCAGAAGGAGCCTTGGAAAACTTGAGCAGCTGCCATGGTCATGTAGGCACTGAAGTGGCAGAACCGAGACAGTCACTGCTCCTGCCACTCTCCGAAGCCTGTGGGACAGACTGCCACACCGCCCCACCTCATACTTAGCTTAAGCAGCTATAGCTAGAAGCTTACCTCCCATTCCTAGGTATGTCTGATATCCTAGGAACACAGGACAGGTCCTAGTCCCTGCTCTGAGCTGGACAACTCCCCCAAGCCCCCATCTTCAGTGTGACCCCCCGAAGGTCCTTGGTGCTCTCATTGTCTCTGGGTAATGCTTTTCTTTTCTTTTTAAAGATTTTATTTATTTATTTGACAGGTAGGGTTACTGACAGTGAGAGAGAGAGAGACAGAGAGAAAGGTCTTCCTTTGGTTCACTCTCCAAATGGCCGCAACGGCCAGAGCTGTGCCGATCTGAAGCCAGGAGCTTCTTCCTGGTCTCCCATGCGGGTGCAGGGGCCCAAGCACTTGGGCCATCTTCTACTGCCCTCCCAGGCCACAGCAGAGAGCTGGACTGAAAGAGGAGCAACTGGGACTAGAACCGGCGCCCATATGGGATGCCAGCGCCACAGGTGGAGGATAATCTAGTGCGCCACAGCTCTGGCCAGGGTAATGCTTTATAAGGTGGCTTTGGTAGCCCTTGGGCCTTGTTTGACGTTGGTTGGTGTTGCTTGGTCTAAGGTTTCTTAGTACTAGCTTGGCAATGCTGGGCGAAGCTAAAATGTGACTTTTCAATGTCTTGAGACATTAAAAGTATAAGGAGATTTCTGTCACGTCATGCCCTCTCATCTGTCACAGTCCTTCTCTGGGAAAGAGCTTGGCAAGTCTGTAAGAAAGGAAGCCAGTGTGCTTGGAGAGAGGGAGGGGCAGAGCAGCAGGAAGAGAAGTCAGAGGCGGCGGGGGCGGGGGGGTTCTTGAGGATCAGAGCTGAGAGGTTACTTGTGTGTGGAGGGAGGGGTCAGGTGATCTGAAAAGAACAGTGTGCTTATCTCTGAAGGAGTCAGTCTCTTACTGCCTTGGCCTGCCATCCATGTCCTGAGAACTCTGCTCAGCCACCTGTCCAGCACCTGGGGCACAGTAGCCTAGTGTTCTCTCTTTTCTGTGGGCTTCTGCAAAAGTACTTTACAAGAGGCTCATAACATATATGGGATACAAAATGAGTCAAGGGGGTTTCCCCTTCAGAGAGTGCTGTATGCTGTATGTGGAGTAAGAGTTGACTGTGGACATGCAGAGAATGGGGCTTCATCAGCCATGTCTGCGGGAGTCCTGGAGGAAGCTTCCCTTCCTTCCCTAAGTGTCAAATGGAAAGTATGCATTTTACAGAATACCCCCAGGAAGAGGGCCAGGGCGGAGGGAGGTGTGTGAGTGAGGTCTCTGACTTCACACGCTGCAGACTCACAGAGTGGAGAGCTGGGATGGGGCCATTGGGAGGCTTGCGGTGAAGTGGGGAGAGCGGTGGCCGGGTTATGCTGGGTAGGGGCTGGCTGTAGGAGACAAGGTTGATTGGGAGTCGGGATGATTGAGCTAAAGAGTGACAAAAATGATGCTGAGTGGCTGGGCTGGTTGGGGCAGGTAGGTAGAGGCTGGGGGAAGCAGAGGTAAGAGCACACGCACATCCCCCATGCTGGAAAGATGAGCTCACCCAAGATGGGAGACAGCTGCCTGGGACAGGAATGTCGGGAAGGTGATTCTGTTCTCTTCCACGGTTTATCAGACATCAGCCAGAACAGACTGAGATTCCAATCTTAAGGCAAAAATGTGTGCTCCTTGGGGACTTCCCTGGAGTCCAGTCCTCAGAGCGGCTTGGACCTGGTCACCAGGAGAGGCCTGTGTCAGGCAGGGGCCGGTCTTCACACAGCACGGCTGCGGGTATCTGACACCGCCTTGGCTGCCCACGAGGTTAGAGCAGTGGCTTCAGCACACAAGCGTGGAAGCCGACGTGGACCAGGTGGAAAGTTCCACAGACGTGAATGTGTGAGTGAGATTCCTAAGCATCAGTATCAAAAGCATTCGAGGGGAAAGGTTAGCTTCTAATGGGCAGGAAAATTAGAAATAACATTATGAGTGTCAGACGAAGTCTCAGTGTTGCCATCCAGTTTATTTCTGACTTCATTTTATTGGAAGTGGTAATGGACGGTTTTTAGCCTTTACCTTGCTACTTGGGGGACGATCTTCACTCAGGCACATGGCAAAAGAAGCCCCGCTCCAAGGCAGGTCTGCATAACACAGCTGTCCGTGGCAGGCAGTGCAGAGCACATTGAAGTCCCAGTCAGACATCTGTTAGATCCTTAAGGCAGCTCCCCAGAGCCCCACGTGTCTCCAGAACAACTTGAACACCGCTTCCAAAGTGTTCCTCTTGATGAGAAGAGCAGCCCATCCTCTGGCATTGAGTAAAAGTCCTATCACCCTGCAGGTTGAAGATACTCAGAGCTGGGCTTCCTGCCCCTAGCAACCCCCGAACAGTGCACCAGGACTGGACACCTTGGGAGGAGGGGGGGAGGCATGGTGGCTGAGGTCTTAGAATAATTTGATTCCATCTAAATGGGGGGTGGTAATTTATTTGAAAGGCAGAGCAATGGGGTGGGGGGAAATGAGAGGGAGATCTTCCATCTTCTGGTTGGCTCCCCAAGAGGCCACAACAGCCAGGGCTGGATCAGGCCAAAGACAGGGGTCCAGGAATTCCATTCAGGTCTCCACGTGGGTGGCAGTGGCCCAAGCACCTGCACCATCTGCTGCTGTCTCGGGCACATTAGTAGGGAGCTGGATTGGAAGTGGAGCAGCCAGGACTTGACACCCATACAGGATGTCACAGGCAGCAGCTTGCCTACCATGCCACAACAACAGCCCAGGCTTCTCTGTTGCTTTTTTTTTTTTTTTTTTTCCCCAAGCTACTCCTTTTTGTGACAACTCCAGCTGTTCTGGCAGGGTCAGGTGCTCTCTGTCCTGCTGAAGTTAGTAGCTATGTGAAGGGAAAGGCTGCTTTGTACGCAGAAGCCGCTTCTCCTGTCATGCATTCTTTCAAAAAATTTTTAAGGTTTTATTTATTTGAGAGGCAGAGTTAAAGATAGAGAGAAAGGTCTTCCATCCTCTAGTTCACTCCCCAAATGGCCGGAAGGGCCGAATCTGAGCCAGTCCTAAGCCAGGAGCTTCTTCTGGGTCTCCCATGTTGGTTGCAGGGGCCCAAGGACTTGGGCCATCCTCCACTGCTTTCCCAGGCCATAGCAGAGAGCTGGATCGGAAGGGGAGCAGCCAGGCTATGAACCGGTCCCCATATGGGATGCCGGCACTGCAGGCAGAGGCTTCGCCCACTACACCACAGCACCGGCCCCTGTTACGCATTCTCGCCAACCGAAGTGCACTGAGCTTCTCGGTAGCACCTGTGTCTTTGGCACTGCTTGATGGTTAGGCCTAAACGCTGGAGAAACTGGTGAGTCTGCCAGGTGTGTAGGTTCTTTTTTTTTTTTTTTTTTTTTGACAGGCAGAGTGGACAGTGAGAGAGAGAGACAGAGAGAAAGGTCTTCCTTTGCCGTTGGTTCACCCTCCAATGGCCGCCGCGGCCGGCGCACCACGCTGATCCGATGGCAGGAGCCAGGAGCCAGGAGCCAGGTGCTTTTCCTGGTCTCCCATGGGGTGCAGGGCCCAAGCACTTGGGCCATCCTCCACTGCACTCCCGGGCCACAGCAGAGGGCTGGCCTGGAAGAGGGGCAACCGGGACAGAATCCGGTGCCCGACCGGGACTAGAACCCGGTGTGCCGGCGCCGCTAGGCGGAGGATTAGCCTAGTGAGCCGCGGCGCCGGCCCAGGTGTGTAGGTTCTTTTGACTAGGGGAGTGTTTGTGATTTAATGTGAGCTTCATTTTGTTCGCAGAGACTTACTAACTTTGTCTTCTTGCTCCATGCCCACAGGTTGGTGACATTGTGAAAGTCACGAGGATGAATATAAACGGCCAGTGGGAAGGCGAGGTGAACGGGCGCAAGGGGCTTTTCCCCTTTACGCATGTCAAAATCATTGACCCTCAAAACCCGGATGAAAACGAGTGATTACTGTCGCCCTGGCTCCTGCTGCTTCGTTGTTCTGCGTGTCATAGTCTCCTTTGAAGTGGGAAAGTGTTCTCTCTCATAGGCAGGTCACGCTGCGTTGCCGACACCCAGCTCTGCAGACTGGCCGTCTCATGCACATTTGGAATGCACACAGCGGCTGCCTCCTGGCATTTGTATCATAGTCGTCTTGTCAAAGAGTAGCCGATTTTAGAGTTCTTTTGGATCACAAACTGGAAGTACTGGTGGAAGCACACGAGTGGAGAGAAGCTGGCGGGAGAGGGTCTTCTCATCACTGCCCTGTATGTCCTTGAGACTGGTTCCGGCGTGCTCGCCCGGGAAGGCGCGGGGCCACAGCGAGATACTGCATGTCGCCACTCTGCAGAGTGGTGGCACCGCTGCCGTCTTGGTTTTCTCTAGACAACAGAGGATGTGAACCTTAAAGGAGGAGAGAATTCTGTCCTTAACCCCACCCTACTCCCCAGTCTGGCTTTGTTTTGTTTTCTTTTGGTTTGGTTTGGTTTTGGAAGACTTAATTAATTAGACTTGTGTGTTCTGAACAGATTTTTAAGTAGCAGGTTGGATTTTTGTGGAAGTCCAAGGAGTAACGTGTGCCTCTGAGCTTCAGAACTGAAGCTGCTGTAGCTAAAGGATTATGAAAAGAGCACTCGGGAAGTAGAGGCCCGTGGTCTTGGTCGCCGTGTAGCAAACACGCACACACATGAGCAGTCGTGCATGCCAGGCTGTGTGCCAGCCTCTTGGATTACTTCGTCCCCAAAAGCATCCGCGTGGGGGTGCTTGAGGAAACCTTTGCTTACCTTGTTTGTTGGTGACAGGAACAGGGAGGGGGTGGGACACTTGGCCAGTTTTCTGTCCAGCAGCTCAATGAGTGCCCCCATTTAAGGTATAGGACTCAGAATTTCTTTAGAAAGTGAGGTTATTCATAGAATCCTTGGACTCATTGATGAGTCCTTCGTTGAATCCTACTCACTGAAGCTCAGTCCTCCCTGCCCCAGCCCAGCCTCAGCAGGCTCCAGAGGAAGATGGTACTGCTGCTGCTGGTCCCAGGTCCACGTGTCTGAGACGCTCCCAAGCAAAGGGAACACACTCTCTGGGGAAACTGGTTGGTGCGTTTGACGTCTCGTGTTTTTGTGGAGAACCGTGAACCATTGATGAGTTTGTTGATGTAGAGCATTTCCCTACTAGCTGAGAGAGGCCTGTTCCTAGAAGCCGGCTGGTGCCAACATATGACCGACCCCTCACCTGCACGGACCAGGCCAGAATCCTGGAGTCTTTATGCAGTTGCCCATCCTTCCTTCTGGACACTGGTGAAGACAGGCCTCAGCCCAGAGCAAATACAGCAGACCTAGAAATGTAGCAGCAACTTAATGTGCGGCTCAGCATTTACCAAGGGTCCGCTCTAACACGACCCTGTCTCTGTACGTTCTTAGGGTTTGAGGTTTAGAGCAATATAGTCTGGTGACAGAATCCCAGCACAGCCATTGTGCATTGTTTTCAATCAGTAGTGCATCAGGCAGATAGCTGCCACGTTACAGAATCTTGGAAGTGTTCCTATGATGAGATTGATGATCAGTTGAGAAAAATAATCATCATTGCTGCCTACCCATCTGTGGTTTTCCTGGAAGACGCTTAGAGAGGAGGAGCTCACCCTGACTGGTGAGAGCCGTGGCTGCCTCCTGCTCTGAAGTCTGCGCTTGCACTTGACCTCTCTGGTTGGTCTGGGAAGGTTTGCTCAGTGGGCTTTGTACCGAGTCAGGCCGGCTCAGCCCACATGATAGTCTCCAAACCGCCCAGAAGCAGCGCTGGCCTTCTGACCGGTGACCCACTTGGCCCTAGCCTGTCGTCGCCACGCCTGGGCTGAGTGTCCAGCAGGAGGTGGGGTATGTGCCTTGTTGAAGGAGGGCAAACCTAAGGCCTCTTCAACCAGGTGCGGCTGGGAGGCTTGACAGCTTTTGGTCGTGGCAGCTGACTGAGAGCGCAAGGAGTGTGGCTGTTTGGGAAAGCATTGTTTCCCTTCCCACAACTGCAAGACGCGTCCAGAGTGGAGGGCCTCAGAGTCACAGCACCCCCTAGCCTCGGGTTCAGGGTCAGCGAGTCCCCTCCTGCTTCAGCCCATGGAGGTGTCTTCAGAACTCAAAGGAAGGTGAGCCTGTGGTTCTGAACCCAAGATAACGTGCCAAAACTAGTAACTTTTTTTTTTTTAACCTAGAACCTTTAACAGTTTTGTAATCAGGCCGGGGGATTCTCTTTCACAGTAAGTATGAGACGCAGCACCTGTCTCGGCTTCGGGCCTGGGCTCCTAGTGATGGGGAAGGCGTTGGTGCTCTGTGGGGCCCACAGATCTGACTGGGGGGGTGGGGGGCGGGGTTCCTCGGAGGATTAGTCCTTACTGCTACCTGCTGTGTGCTGCCCTGTATAAGAAAGAAAACAGTTGGATGCTAAATTAACTCGCTGTGGCTTCTCACCTGGGAAGGACGTCCCCCTGAAGACTTGTCTAGCCTGGGGGCATTGGGTTGTCACTTCTGTGCCACCTGCTAACAGAGAGGAGGATGCGTTGAGCAAACGACTCGGCCCCCCAGCCTGGACGGCTTCTGTGCTCGTGATTGGACGTGGCAAGGCGGGAAGGATGGCTGTGCGCTCCCCGGCGCCTCGCACCCGGCTCCACGCTGGCTTCCTCACAGCTGTTTACAGACCAAGGACGGCCACTGCTCTCGCCATGTTTGCTCAGAGGGATATGAGCATTTTATTTTTGAAAAGGGATGATGTGTGTTTCTTTTTTTGTGCCAGGCGTTTATAATTTAATCCTTTAATATTATGTCCATTAACCTCTTAAAATCAGTGAATTCTTGATTGTTTTAACACAGTCCCTAAGACTAATGCTTTCCGTGGACACTGAGCCCCGCCTCAGGCGCCACGCTCTGGGACCGGAGAGCCACGTTCCTGGCGACTGCTGTCCTCGCAGACACTGAGCTGGCTGTGCCTCTGGAGGAGGAAGACAGTCCTGAGACGGGATTGTTGTCCCTGCGGGAGGAACAGTGGCCTTGCTTCTAGACGGTCTTCACTGTGTGTTTGCAAACAACGACGACAATGTAAAACTCTTTTGACCTGTAACTTAAAGATCATAAACTTCAGGCAATAATATTTTCTGTGTAAGCTTTTAAAATTATTTTTGGGGGATCATAGCTTGTTTTATTTTGTGCTATAAAATTAACAGTATTAAATGACTTATATTCTTAGAATACATCGAGTGTCTTTTCTTAACAGATTTGTGCCTTTTTATTTTTGTATTCCATTTTACGTTACTGGTCCCAGCATCAGAACCCTTGTTTCCGTGGCCTGTTTGTACATTGTCTCAATAAAACTTGCATCAGCCGGTGGTGGCGGCAGCTTCAGTGTTTCAGTGTCTCCTCAGTCAGCCCCCACTGAGCCGCTAAGCGATGGCAGAACCCCTGTGCTCCCCGGAGACCCGGCTGTGCTGCTGCTGCCGCCCAGGTGCCGCCCGCTCCCGCAGCCGGGCGCCCAGAGGGGATGTGTGGGGCCTCCCTGCAAGTGAGAAAAAGCATCCGGCTCCCCGTGTGTGGGCAGCGAGGCCGTGGATCAGGAGCTTGGTGCCTTCTGCGCGTGAGGCAGTGGTTCCCACGCAGCGCACCACACCGAGAACTCCGATGCTGCCCCTTCTCGGCGCCCACATGGAGGCTTCCAGCAGCACATGTCCGTGTGGATTCCTTCAGTTGTTTTCTGTTCCTGTCTCTGTGGTCCTGGTGAGCTGGGGGTGCTAGGCTTGGAGTGTGTGACTTGAAATGTTTGGGGGCCCACAGACTTCCCTCTAAGGGCCTCTCACTGAACACCTCAGCCAGGGCCCTGTCCCCAGCCCTCCGTACCTTGTCTCTGACGTCACCTGAACTCTTAACTATTTGCATGTGTATTGAGAGGTTCACGTCTTGCAGACCTCAATAATAGCAACGTATATTGATCCAGAACCACCCTGCTAAAATGCAGTCTCTGGCTCCTTCGAGGATTCTGAATTTCAAGAAGCATTCTGGAAGAAACAATACCACACACAGACATCTGGGTTTTGAAAAGGTAGGAACCGGAGGCCAGCGCTGTAGCATAGCAGATAAAACGCTGCCTGCACTGCCGGCATCCGGTTCAAATCCAGGCTGCTCCAATTCCGATCCAGCTCCCTGCTAATGTGCCTGGGAAAGCAGCAGAAGATGGCCCAAGTGCTTGGGCCCCTGCACCCACGTGGAAGACCCAGAAGAAACTCCTGGCTCCGGATCAGCCCAGCACCGTCCATTGCAGCCATTTGGGGAGTGTATCAGCAGATGGGAAGACCTCTCTGTCTGCCTCTCTGTAACTCTGTCTTTCAAACAAATAAAATGTTTTAAAAAAAAGAAAAAGAAAAATCCCCTGAAGCAAGGGGAATCCTGGACGTGGAGCCCAGGGTGGGGGATGCCTCCCATGTCCGGTCTCCCCGCCCGGGCAGTATCAAAGCCAGCCCGAGGTCTTGAAACCTTACCGGGTGGCCAATACTTGACACTGCCCGCCTTCGCCTGTGGCCATTCGTTCTGGGAGGCTCTGCTCGGGCCAAGTCACCGACACCACCACTCGCATCCGCGGTATTGGGAGGTGACCTTGGCCCTGGCGGTGCTCCGCACAGGCCGGTTATTAGCCCGAAAGGACAGCCAGCAGCACGGGTGCAGACGCGGTGACTAGTGCTCTGACAGTGGGGGGCGATTTCTCGCTGCCTGGGGAGGGAGCCCAGGCGCTGACTCTGAGACCTCCCTTGCTGACTCAAGGTGCAACTGCGGGTTCCAGCTCAGTTGACGTTTTCATGCTTCTGGGTACTGGAGATTTTAAGTTCTCCAGGGGGCTTTGATATGGCTCCAGCTCCCTCAGCCCAGGGACTGTGGTCCACCCTTGGCCGCGAAACCCTGGGGCGGACGGCCCGGGCACCGTTGCGGGGCACAGTGTAGGCGGGGAGAGGGACCGTGCACCCAGAAATCTCAAGGCCAGCTCAGACCCGGCGCTCGGCTGACGCACTTGCACCCTGAGCTCTCGCTGGCCTGCTCTCAGACCTCGGTGCCCGCCCAGCGGATCCTCCAGACCCCCAGTCCCAAACCGAGTTACAGCTGTCTGAGGCGGGACGGAAGAGGGAGAAGGGTGGCGGACGCACCGTCCGCAGCCGAGCTCGGGGGTTGCGGTCCTCAGACCCCAGAGAGGGCTTGACTCCGCTGTCCTCAGGAGCGCCCTGTGGCTGCGGGGATCCAAGACAGACTGTGCATTGAGGGGCTTTCAGTGTGGACTCAGCCATAGGCCCCTTGTGTGCTCGGGAGCAGAGCGCTCAGGGGCGTGGAGCTCCGCGGGCTCCAGGCCAGGGATGGCCCCGGGACAGCCCTGGGGAACCCGCAGCTCAGGCCAAGGGAGGGAGGGAGGACCGCCAAGGGCGATGCCCTCCGGCTGGGCGCCCCAAATCCCCCTCAGCCAGCCCAGGCTACAGAGGCTGTGGGTGATTGGCCCAGCACCTCTCGGAAGGTGGGCGTGAGAGGAGCGGACCCCCGGCCTCAGTACCAGCCCTCTGGGAAAGGTGGGTTGCAGACCACCTGAGCTCCCCACCAGAGCTCCAAGGAGTTTGGGGATTCTGCTACGGCACGGGGTGGGGTGGGGGTGCTGAAGGGCATTCAACATTGAAACGATTAGGGGGGGCAGCACTGTTGCTTGGGGGGTAAATCCACCACCTGCAGTGCCAGCATCCCATGTGGGCGCTGGTTTGAGTCCCGGCTGCTCCACTTCCGATCCAGCTCCCTGCTATGGCCTGGGAGAGCAGTAGAAGATGGCCCAAGTCCTTGGGCCCCTGCACCCATGTGGGAGACCTGGAAGAAGCTCCTGGCTCTTGGCTTCGGATCGGCACAGCTCTGTCCATTACAGCCAATTGGGAGTGAACCACTGGGTGGAAGACCTCTCTCTCTCTCTCTCTCTCTCTCTCTCTCTCTCTCTCTCTCTGCCTGTCCTCTCTCTGTGTAACTCTGACTTTCAAATAAAATAAATCTAAAAATAGAAAAGATGGGGTGTGTTTGGGGTTCTTTGATATTTGGAAGGCAGAGACAGAGAAATCTCCCACCCACTGGTGCACTGGAGCTGGAGACTCAACCCAGGCCTTCCACGTGGGCAGCGGGCAGGCACCAAGCCGCCAGAGCCCTCCACCCTGAAGTCCCAGCTGATTATTTGTCCGTCCTGTTACTCTAGAACACACAGGCAGATCTTGTTTTGTTTTCAATTTTTTTCCCTGTAACATACTTAACTGCTCTCTGCACCTTACCAGGCCCAAGCCAAGGAGCCCAGAACTCCATCCGGGTCTCCCACATGGCTGGCAGGAACCCAAGCACTGCCACCCTGGACGCGTATTAGCAGGAAGCTGGCATGGGAAGCAGAGCCAGGACTCAAACCCAGGGACTCCGATGTAGGGTGTGGATATCCAAGTGGCATCCACGTGGCCTCCTCACTGTGTTTCAGACAGCGTATGGGTCAGCATGTTGAATGCCTTTTCCTTTTCAGCACTGTGAAGTATCCTATGGTACAGGTGGACTGGCCCGCGTTAGTGATCCCCTGTTGATGGACGGCAGGTCCTTCCCAATCCCAGGTGTTTGGGCGCATTCCAACAGGTTTCCCTGAGCAGCGTTTCTAGGCCGCATGCTCCAGGCATCTGCAATTTTGAGAGCTGTTGCCAAATTGCCCTCTGTGGGAATCGCCTCAGTTTCCACTTTTACTAGGGATGTATAAGAAAAAAAAATTTAATTTTAAAATTTACTTATTTATATTTGAAAGGTGGAGTTAGAGAGAGAGAGAGAGCGTACTTCCATCTGATGTTTCACTCCCCAAATGGCTGCAACGGTTGGAGCTGGGCCGATCTGAAGCCAGGAGCCAGGAGCTTCTTCTGGGACTCCCACAGGGGTGCAGGGGCCCGAGGGCTTGGGTCATCTGCTGCTTTTCCTGGGCCACAGCAGGGAGCTGGATCAGAAGAGGAGCAGCTAGGACTTGAAACGGCGCCCATACGGGATGTCAGCATCACAGGCGGTGGCTCAACCCGCTACAGCACAATGCCAGCCCCCCTATTTTTTTTTTACAGGCAGAGTGGACAGTGAGAGAGAGAGAGAGAAAGGTCTTCCTTTTCCGTTGGTTCACACCCCACAATAGCCGCTGCGGCCGGCGCATTGCGCTGATCCGAAGCCAAGAGCCAGGTGCTTCTCCTGGTCTCCCATGGGGTGCAGGGCCCAAGCACTTGGGCCATCCTCTACTGCCTTCCCGGGCCACAGCAGAGAGCTGGACTGGAAAAGGAGCAACCGAGACAGAATCTGGCGCCCCGACCGGGACTAGAACCGGGTGTGCCGGCGCCGCAGGCAGAGGATTAGCCTATTGAGCCGTGGCGCCGGCCAAAATTTTTTTAACATTGATTTATTTGTTTGAAAGGCAGAGTGATGGGGAGATTGGGGGTGGGGGGAGGCTTCCATCTGGGAGTTCACTCCCCAAATGCCTCCATAGACGCCTTTTTATGGCTAAGCAACACTCCACCGTGTGGCAGAGGCAACTTACACTATACAGATTGGTGCCAATCTGTTGATAGAAAATCCTGGGGAGTGGGCAGGGCCCCCTGTGGCTGGCTCAGAGCCAGCCCGCACCCTGGGTGTCTCCAGACCTGCCTGCTCTGTTCTGGCCCAGTGCCAGTTCTCGTTACCGGCATATTTCTTTCCTAAAGACAAACGTGATGCAAACCCCTCGCCTGCTCTTCCCCGGCCACTCTGTGCCGGCCCCTGCCCAGAGCCCAGTGCCCAAGCCAGAAGGGGCGGGCACATTCAGAGCTCCCCAGAACCAGCCTTGGCGCCTCCTTGCCCCGGGGGCCCACCTCCCTCCACAAGGACCGGAATTGAACTCAGAGTCAGCCCCGGGGAACCCAGTGAGTGCCGGGCGGTCAGACCCACGTCAACAGACCTGGGCTGGAGAGAGGCCCGGCGGCAGCAGGAAGTCACCACGCGGCTGCGGCCGCCACTTGCCTCTGCACCCCATCTGGAAATCCACCTGACGTTCAGGAAGAGACCCTCAACTCCTGCCCCTGCGCACACGACCCCCATCCCTTCTCCAGTTTACAGAGCACCGTGCCATTCCTCAGACTGGCCACCAGGGGGTGCCAGTGTCCGTCCCAATGGCAGCTATGGGCGCAGGTTCACTTTGTAAGGTAGGAAGGCTTTCTGCCTGCACCCCCCTGCTCCCGCACCCTAGCGGGAACTGACAGCAGTGGGGCGTGGGAGGGGGTGTTGGCAGAAGGACGCCAGAGACAAGCTTGCTGCCTGATGGGTGCTCCAGGGCCGGGGATGCCTAGGGTTAGACAAGGGTGGGAGGACCAGGGCCGGTGGTTAGTGATAGAAGTGGCTTCACTTTGCCAAAATGTAATTCATTCCTTTCGTACATGGTCACTACACTCCATTCTGCTGCATCGCATCCAGGAGATGTCTGAGACAGACAACCAGGCACTAGGGAGGCTGGTCAGGGAGGGCTTCCTGGAGGAGGGGGCACAACAGTGAGGTTCACTACGATGGATAGAGACCCAGAAAGTTCTGGTGCATTGACAGTTGGGGAAAAGAAAATGTAATTTCTAGCTAAGGTATCTAAGGGGTGGTGGGCAGTGAACAGGTTTTTCTCTCTTGTGGAACCTTCTTCGGGCGACTCAACTTCCCCCACGCCGCCCACGGATGGTTCGGACCAGCGTGCAGCCCAGCCTGGTGACCCTGGACCGAGGGAGGGGGCTGTCTAAGACGCCAGGGTCGGGAGTAGGGGCAGCACCCAGACTCAGCCTGGGGCATCCAAGTGCACCAAGGGGGCCCGGGCTGCCGCCCCACGCCCAGGGCGCTCTCATGGAACGCCGTGGCCCCGCCTTGGCCTGACCCCTGACCCCCTCGGCCGCCCCGCACCTGCTCCGGTCCCGCGCGGGGCGGTGCTGGGCGCAGCGGGCTCCCCGGCCGGCCGCAGTGCAGCCGCAGCGCCGGCCCCGCCCCGCCTGCCCGCCCGCTCCTCCCCTGCCGCCCCCCCACCCCTGCGGCCGCAGCCCCAAGCGCTTCCAGACCCGCGCTGAGCCCAGGTGAGCGCCCGCCCCGGGACCCCGGCCCCCACCCCCACCCCTGCCCCGCCGCCTGGCGCCCCGGTCCTCGCGCCCAGCGCGGCCCGGCCATCGCGCGCGCTCGTGGGTCTCGGATCCCGGGTCGGCTCAGGCGAGAGGCAGTGAAACCGGCCAGGGGTGCTGGAGCGCCCCTGGTCCTCTGGCCCTGCCTCCTGGGAGCCAGTTCCTCGCTGGGCCGCCGGGTCTTAGCGGGAGAGGGGACCAGAGCCGGCCTGGCTGCTCTATGCAGCTCCCCGAGCGGTGGCAGCCACGTGCAAAGTCAGGGAGAGTGGACGGGAGGTGGGCACCAGAGCCCCCTGGGAGAGGGCTGGAGCCGGAGCCCCCCAGACTGGAACACAGGGCTGGGAGGGTTCAGCTTCCATCCCCAGGAAGCCTGGAAGCTGCAGGGGGCCCAGGCTGGAGGCAGGAGCCCCTGGGTGAGGATTAGGGGCAGGCAGGGAGGAGAGCAACGGGCCACAGGCTCCTGCCCAGCCTGCAGCTTCTGGGAGGGACCCTGGCAGCCGGTGCACCTGCGTGACGTGGGGGTCATTCAGTGCCTGCCCCAGGTGTCGCTGGGGGTCCCTGGGGCAGGACACAGGCTCCTGGTGGCAGGGCGTGTTGGGTGCTGTTGGACTGTCTCAGCAGAGAGCAGCTGGTGCACAAGGCAGAGCCATTTGGGGGCTCTTGGGGGGCTCCTCTGCCTGCACTCCTGGCTGTGACCTTGGCCTTTGGTTGGTGAGCACCTCTGGGCCCCAGGCCAGCCTGGCACACACTTGGTGGAAAGCACAGGCCCTACCAGTTCTCCTGTCAGGCACAAGGCCCTGGGGGGTGGGGGAATCTAGAGAGACCCCCTCCCTGGGGCACCTGGGAAGGGAGGGAACAGGTGGCAGAACCAAGCCACCGGTGAAGCCAGGGCCTGGGAGGGGGCAGGTGGTAGCCACGTTTGGTGGTGAGTGGGGGACACAGCAAGGGCACCCCCGGGGGGCTCTGGAAGCCACCACCTGCCTCACCTGTAGCAGCACCTGCAGGCAGGGCGGGCAAGATGGGGGGGCAGGCATAGGGGGTCCTCCACCCAAACTTCCTTCCTTCCTTAGCCCCCTCATGTCAGGCACTCCCCGCTCCCCCCCTCCCCCCGGGCCATGGCCCTTCCTGGCTTCTGGGCCGGTCCAAGGGAGCCTCAGCTCCAACTCCAGTTAGATTCCAGGAAGAACTTCCAAGGGAAACAGAGAGGGGACGGACAATGGGGATGGTCAGTGGTAAACAATGTGGCTCCACCTTTGTCCCGGGGCTTCCAAAGTCCACCTGGAGGCTGCATTTTTCCCCAAGACCCACCCTGTGGCCCCGGTGATGGCTCTGCCGACTCCTCCCCCAGCTGGGCGGGAGGGCCAGGGCCAGGAGGGGTGCTGGGAGCCGTGGCTGCCAGGCAAGGGCTCCGTGGCTGGCTTTCCTCTCCCCGAAACCCATCAGGCTCAGGCTGGCCGCCCGCTTCTTGTTCACCACGGAGCTGAGTTTCCCTGGGGAACGGATGGACTGGCCCACAGCTCACACTGGGAGGAGGGGTGGGGGCTGGGCCTCCTCCTGGACCCCTGCCCTCCTTACCCTGCCTTCCACAGCCCGCCTGGCCTGGCAGCTTCCATCCACTGCTGGCCCACGAGCAAGGAGCTGTGGCTGCCCCTGGAGGAGGTGGGTGCCCAGGGACCACCCAGCCGGGGTGGGGGCCGGGACCAGGGAGAACCCAGTTTTCCACCCAGCCTGGCTCTTGTCAGAAGGAGAGACCCGAGGAGGATTGGGAGGGTTCTGGCTTGCCCACCGCAAGGACCTGGGGTCTCACTCTGGGGATGGGGGCTTCCTGGGGTTTGGAGAGAAGTCCAGGGCTGGGGTTGGAGGAAGCAGCAGAAAGCAGGGGGGACTTCATGGTTAAAGGGTCTGCGGGGCTGGACAGAGGATGGCTGAGGTGTGGGGCCCGAGGGGCTGCCCTGGTAGCAGGCACAGCCCTTGCCGAGGTGGGGCAGGGGTGGGGGTGGGGGAGAAGAGCCTGGAGGGCTTCAAGGGGGTGGTGCCTTCCCCTGTGCCTCTGGGACAAGGTTCCCCTACAGGCAACCCGCAGCTCAACTGTAGTCATCTCCTAGAAGGTCCTGCCTCCCCCCCAAGTCTGTCTCTGTCTCACAGCCCTCCCGGGGCCCGATGCGCCCCCCCACCCCCATCTGCTCTGCAGGATCCAGGGATGGCAGTGGCTCCAGCACCTCCCAGGGCTGCAGGGGGTTCAGCCCCTCAGCGGGGCACCCCAGGCCTGTGACAGCCGAACCATCACCTGTGCTCCCCACCGGCCCCACCCACCCAACCACAGACCACAGCCATGGGCGGCTGCTTCTCCAAACCCAAGCCAGGTACCTCCTCTCTTCCCGCCTGCGCCCTCCCTCCTTCCCTCTCCCCCATCCTTCCCTTCCCCTCCCCCTCTGCACTGGGCGGCAGGCAGCCCGGGGCTGGAAGTAGGTCAGGCCAGGCAGGAGCCTGCGGAATGTTAATACGCTGCTGTGGGCAGGAGCGGGTAGGGGGCCCTGCGGGCTGTTCTCTCGGTCACGCCCCCCCCACCTCCTGTGGATGCCCCTCTTTAAGTGGTGGAAGCAGCAGCCGGGTCTCCCTCGGAGAGCCGAGGGGGAGGGTGTCTCCTGGTTTGGGGCTGGGGAAAGAGGGCTGTGGCGGGCATCCCTGGGCACTGGGCACCTCCCTTTGCCTGTGGGCCTGTCCTGAGCTCTCAAAGTTGCTGCGAGGGTGTGGTGGGCAGGGGCGCCACCCTCTTGACCCTGCTGCCCTGGGCTGTCTGGGCACGCGTCTCCAGGGACATGGCAGGTGGGGGGCGTGTGCTGGAGATCTGTGTCTGTGGCGGTGGGGGGGCACTCCCTGGGGTCCCCCCCTCTCCCTCTGCCTTCCTCCTAACACCCAGAGGCCTGGGGGCATGTGCCATATTAGATGGAGAAACCGAGGCTGGGAGAGGCCTCTGGAACCCAGCCTGGCTCTGCAGGTCGCTGCCCCCGGCCAACTCGCCCTGGTACCTGATACCCATCGGCTCCGTTACCCTGGAAGCCATACACTTTCTCCTTTCCTGGGTCTGAAGGAGGATGTGGGGGAGGGGAGGGGAGAGGTGCACCTGCCCCTGGCAATGACGCTCCTTGCCCAGCTCCCACGGATCCAAGACTTTCCCCTGTAGACATGGCCCAGGAAGATGCCCCTCCCCCAAGGCGGGCACCTGGGGGACTGCTGGCTATCAGGGGCTCTGGGCAGAGAATGCTGCTTGCAGATTTCTTTTAAGGGCCCCTAAGGTGCTGGCCTCCTGCTTGGGATTCCTCGTCTGGGGACCTCCAGTATGGGGGATGGGGAGTGGCCACTCTCACCACCCCAGAGGCTGTGCTCAGAACTGACCGCCCAGATTCCAGATCCAGCACCACCTCCACTTCTGGGGCTGAGCCCTGGGGCCCTCCTGCCTGCCGTGGGCCTGGCAGGCGGGAAGCACTTGCAGAGTGTCAGCCTGCAGTTTGTGAAAGCCACAATTGCTAGCTGAAGACTTTCCCTCCTCGCCTGGGCTGCCAGGAAGCTCAGAGCCCATTGCTAAATCTCTACTACCCAGTTCCATCTATTGAGCTCTTCCTCTGGGTTACATATGAGGGTGTTTTATAAAGCTCAAGGAAAATGGAATGAAAAGTCTGAGTTTGTTTTGGTGCAAAAACATTGCTGAAAATCATAGTACATATTTTCCATGTATTACAAAAAATTTTCTTTGCACTGAAATGAACTCATACTTTTTAAAAAATATATTTATTTGAGGCCGGCACCGTAGCTCACTAGGCTAATCCTCCACCTGTGGCGCCAGCACCCCCCCCCGGGTTCTAGTCCCGGTCGGGGCGCCGGATTCTGTCTCGGTTGCCCCTCTTCCAGTCCAGCTCTCTGCTGTGGCCCGGGAGTGCAGTGGAGGATGGCCCAAGTGCTTGGGCCCTGCACCCCATGGGAGACCAGGAGAAGCACCTGGCTTCGGATCGGCACAGCGCGCTGGCTGTAGCAGCCATTTGGGGGGTGAACCAACAGAAAAGGAAGACCTTTCTCTCTGTCTCTCTTTCTCTCTCTCTGTCTAACTCTGCCTGTTAAAAAATATATATATTTGGGGCTGGCTCAGTGGTGTAGTGGGCTAAACCTCCACCTGCAGCACCGGCATCCCATATGGACACTGGTTTGTGTCCCAGCTGCTCCTTTTCCCATCCAGCTCTCTGCTGTGGCCTGGGATAGCAATAGAAGATGGCCCAAGTGCTTGGGCCCCTGCACCTGCGTGGGAGACAGGGAGGAAGCTCCTGGCTCCTGGCTTTTGATTGGCCCAGCTTCGGCCATTGCAGTCATTTGGGGGAATGAACCAGCAGATGGAAGACCTCTCTTCTTTCTCTCTCTCTCTGTCTCTTTGTCTCTTTGTCTGTAAATCTGCCTCTCAAATAAATAAGTAAAATCTTTTAAAAATGTATTTATTTGAAAGGCAGAGAGAGAGAGAGAGAGAGAGAGAGAGAGAGAGAGAGAAACCTGTCACCTGCTGGTTCTAAATGTCCATTACAAGTCAAGACTGAGCCAGGCTGAAGCCAGGAGGAGCTGGGAGCTCCATCCGGGTCTCTCACGTGGGTGCAGGGGCCCAAGCACTTGGAGCGTCTCAAAGGGCCTTTATCTGGTACTTCCTGAGCCGTCACTGTCCAGCAAGGAGGTAGGTGCTGTTCTCTCCCTGACAACAGCTCCTGGAAGCTGAAAGGGACCGGGGTGGGGGTGGGGGGTCATCTGCTGGGCGGCTGAAATTCCTGGATCCCTGGTTGAGCCAGTTCTGTGGAGCCATTCGTCATCCTGCCACTGCTCCTGACTCAATGGCTTCCCGTCGGACTATGAGCAAGCCTTGGAACCTTCTGGAAGGAGGAGGAGGAGGGTGAAAGCAGCCGGCTTGGCTGCTCCCTGGCCCCCGGCCAGCCCGTTCCTATGAGCTCCCACAGCTCGCATAGCTGGTGGCAGCGGAGTCCAGAGTCTTTTTTTTTTTTTTTTAATTCTTCTAAAAACATTGAACTCCATTACATAAAGGGTGGGGAAACCACCCCACTGCCCCTGCAGCCGGAGCCCCCACCTGACAGTCTGTGTGCTGAGGTCACCCCTGTGGCTCCCACTGTGCGTGCCTGGGCTGCAGCTGGGGGCTGGGACACAAGGATGGGGATAGGGGCCACCCTCCGAGGCTCCCCAGGCCCCGGGCAGGCTGAAGACCCATGCATCACCATGGAGTGATGATGGTGCATGGGTGGGACCTAAGGGCACAGGCGAGGGCTGGGGGGACCGGGCACCTCCTGCTCCCCCGTCGGCGCCCGCTGTGCCCGGGGCTTAGCTTCCGTCACTCACCCTTCTCTAGGCACCAGCAGCCCCCAGGAGGCTGGATTATCGCTGCTAAAGATTCTGTTTATTGTTCCCTTCTAATTAAGAAAAAAAAATACCCCAGGCACACATCACAGGGAATTTGAAAAATGCAGAAACAGACAAGCATTTAAAATGGCAGTGTCCCCACCGGAGCCGGGTGTCTTGAGGAAATGTCATCCGTCGGGAAGCCGTGGTCGGGGGGGGGGACCCTGTCCTGTCTGCACTGCCCACAGGCTCTCAGCTCAGTGGGATTCACGCCCCACGGGGCCCCAGCCACCTGCACACACAGACACCCAGAGGATTCTGGGAAGGGATGGGTGACACTGCTGATCAGAAGAGCTGTTGCGAAGACTTTTTTTTTTTTTCTTTTGGATACCAAACAAGATTTCTGGCTCCTAGGAAATTTGCTAAGAATAGGACTGTGAGCCCCTCCCCCCCCCCAGCATCTCCAGTTAGGCAGATTGACCAGCTGCACCCCACTTCGGCGGGTGCATCCACCCCCCAAAAAAGCTGTCCCCACGCCATCAGGGACATGGGTGTTGTCCAGCAGAAGAGGCAGCATCAGGGCATCAGGGTCCTCCCGGCACCTAGATTCCTGAGCCCCCTCCCCCCAGTGCCCTTGCCTCACTCCCCCACCCCCAGCTTGCGCGGTGGGAGAGCCAGGGGCCAAGCCGGAGGACTCACGGGGGACCTCTGCCCACAGTGGAGCTCAAAATCGAGGTGGTGCTGCCAGAGAAGGAGCGAAGCAAGGAGGAGCTGGTGGCCAGCGGGAAGGGCAGTCCCCGGACCTACCAGGGCAACGGCACCGCCCGCCACTTCCACGCCGAGGAGCACCTGCCTGCCCCGCACCCCTACCCCGGCCCTCAGGACTGCGTGGAGGCCGCCGTCTGTCACGTCAAAGACCTGGAAAACAGCCAGTGGGTGCCAGGCTTGGGAAGGCGGGCAGCCAGCAGGGCGTGGGGTGGCTAGAAGGGGCCATGACCAGTCCCCTGCCCTGGGCGCTGCCAGGAAGAGGTGCCTGGCCATCCGGCCTTGACCTCAAGAATGCGGTTTCCACTCCCCTCTCCCCCCCACCCCCAGGATGCGGGAAGTGGAGCTAGGCTGGGGGAAGGTGTTGCTGGTGAAAGATGGCGGGGAATTCCATGCCTTAGGCCACAAGTGCCCACACTACGGTGCACCCCTGGTCAAAGGTGAGGTTACGGGGTCCTCAGGGGGAGCCCAGGGATGCCCTGTCCCAGGTCGGCTGGGTTTCCTCCCCGCTGACCCCACAATGTCTTCATCTAGGTCTGTGGAGCAGTGGGGGTGGTGGGGCGGGGTGGGGGGTGGGGAACCCAGCAGGTGCTGGAATACGGGATCCTCGCAGAGGACACCCTGCTGCCGGCCCAGCCTAGCACCGCCCCCTTCTAGGCGTGCTATCCCGGGGCCGCGTGCGCTGCCCCTGGCACGGTGCCTGTTTCAACATCAGCACCGGGGACCTGGAAGACTTCCCGGGCCTGGACAGCCTGCACAAGTTCCAGGTGGGGCCAGGAGCCCGGGACAGGGGCAGGGTGGTCAGGGACCGGAGCATCCCGGAAGCGTGGTGGGGTTGAGCAACACAGCCCTTGCAGGTGAAGATTGAGAAGGAGAAGGTGTACGTCCGGGCCAGCAAGCAGGTGAGCTTGGGGGAGCTGAGGCCGGAGCTGGGAGGACGCCTTGGCCCACTGCCAAGGTCCTCGGGCTGAGGGTGGGGTCCTGTGGCCAGAGAGCCGAGTGAGGGCTGCACAGTGGGGGTGGGGCTGGGTTGAGGGCAGGAGGAGCTGGCGTTTCTGGGAGAAACCGCACCAGGCAAGGTTGTGGATGAGGACCCCAGCTCCCAACTGCCCCTTACTCCCTCTGCGCTCGCAGGCCCTACAAATGCAGAGGAGGACCAAGATGATGGCCAAGTGTATCTCTCCAAGTGCCGGGCACAGCGGCAGCACCAATGTGCTCATTGTGGGTGCAGGTTGGTGGCTGCAGTCCTGGAGGGACAGAGGGGAGTATTGGGGGAATGGGGGGTTGGAGAGAAGGGTCCCCGGCCCCTGGGCCATGTCTGCTCAGGTGCAGCAGGCCTGGTGTGTGCGGAGACACTGAGACAGGAGGGCTTTTCAGACCGGATCGTCCTGTGCACGCTGGACCGGCACCTCCCCTACGACCGGCCCAAGCTGAGCAAGGTGGGTGTTGGGGGGAACGTGGACCAGGCAGGGAGAAGCTGTCCCACTGGGCCCCACGCAGGCCCACTTGGAACCTCGCTCGTGACCTCCATGGCGTGAGTCCTCTGTACTCACACCAGGGCCCAGCCACGGAGCCTCCAAAAGATGGAGTCTGTGGAGTTCTGTCCTGCAGCACCCCACCCCCCACCCCCACGTAAGCCAGGGCCCCACGTCCCCCGCCGTAACAAGAGGAGCAGTGGCCAGCTGGCGCCATCTTGAGCCGGCCATCCCCTGCAGTCCCTGGACGCGCAGCCTGAGCAGCTGGCCCTGAGGCCCAAGGAATTCTTCCGGGCCTACGGCATCGAGGTCCTCACAGAGGCCCAGGTACCGGCTGAGGAGGAAACAGGCTGGGGAGAGGGCTGGAAGCAGCCATGAGAGGCACGAGGCCACGTGGGCCCCTGGGAGTGTGTGGGGGTGGGGTGGGCTCTGGACCCATTTCCTGGCGGGCCAAAGGTGAGCTGTGCAGGGCTGGTGGGACTGGGGTTATGAGATGGGCTAAAGGAATGGGGCAGCCCCCCGCCTGGGCCCTGGGCATCTGGAGGACCTGGGAGTGGGTGTGGAGCTGCGGCACAAGCTCAGGTCTGTGCTGTGCCCGGGGGGGGTTTGCAGGTGGTCACCGTGGATGTGAGAAACAAGAAGGCGGTATTCAAGGATGGCTTCAAGTTGGAGTACAGCAAACTGTTGCTGGCACCAGGCAGCAGGTGCAAAGGCCAGGGGGCGGGGCCAGGGCATCCTTGTCCCGCCCTCCCCTCCTGGCCGGCCAGGACGGGAGGCCCTCACCGCGCTGCTCTGTGTGTCTCAGCCCCAAGACCCTCAGCTGCAAAGGCAAAGAGGTGGAGAACGTGTTCACCATCCGGACACCTGAGGATGCCAACCGCGTGGTGAGGCTGGCCCGGGGCCGCAATGCCGTGGTCGTGGGAGCTGGCTTCCTGGGT